TCCATGTGTTAACATTGCTCGCATTTGTTGCAACATTTTGCCACGCACGTCTCTTCGTAGGAAGTAATCGAACAGCAGCTCGTCTTGTTGTTGTTGCTGTTGTTATTGCTGTTAACGGAAATTGCTTGGGAGTTTTGTAAAATATGAGGAAATTCGTTAATGTTTTGCATAAGTTAATGGCAATGGAAGGCGTGTCGCTGTTTAAATTTGGTAATAACTGTGAAATGATGATTTTAGGTGTAATTTGTAGGCTCCAGCACTTCATATTGATTCAATTTCAATTTGAAAGCAGCCCAACTGAGCCAACATTGGCTTGGCAACATTGTTGCACGTGTCGTTCAAGGTCTTGGCAACATTGCGCGCTGTGGCAGCTGCCAGTTATGCAACGGCACTGACCCCAAACAATAAACAAAACAATAAATTTACTCAAGCAACAACAATTTCAAGGTCAACCTTGCAGCGCAGACAACAGGCTTTGCTGGCCAGCAAATAACATTAACATAGCCTGCTTGCGGGCTGTGTTAACAGCGGCGCACTTAACAGCAGCAGCCCAGAAGTGGGCAGCAGGCGAAGATCGCGCTTAACAGAGCGCGGAGCTGTTAAGAAATTTGACGGAAAGGTATTTGGCGGTTTTTTCAAATATGAAGTTAAATTCAAATAAAATACTTAGCATAAGGCCCACTTGTTGAATTTCCTTGAATAAAAACAAGCAATTATTATTTGTTGTATTTATCGTTTCAAAATTTGTATCTAAACCTTTATTGTTTTCTTTTATTTTTTTTCTGCAGTTTTTCAATAACACATATGCGATTACGCCATCAAATAATGCCGTTATTAATTCCCATGAGAATTCATCAATATTATTGATTTCATACAGAATTTATCGCCTGCCTAAAATGCGCAAATCTCAACAAATCGTGAATATCGAACATGAAACAAATTTTCAAAATCAGTTTCCAAACGAAAGCGAAAATGTTTCAGTTGCAGCAAATGTTAATTAGAGACAAGTACAAAAAAAAATACATATTAACAGATTCTGTTATCGTTCGCGTTTCTAATTACAAACTAAAACTAATATCTGCAGCAAGTTGCTCGAGCACTTGTGTCTAGTTTGTTAGCATTTTCATGCACGCTTTTTCCGCTTTTCATTATATTGTAGATTTTTCTCTCATTCACTTTTAAGTTTTTCTTTTGTATGTATATCTAGGTACATGTTAGTGTCCTTGCATAGGCTGTTTTCTTCATCTATATATATGTTTTTTTCCTCTTCTTTTCTTTATTTATTTAGCATTTGTTTGTTTTTTTTTTTTTTGTTTTTATTCGATTTTCATTTAATTTCTTTTTGCATGCTGGCAACAACAACTAGGCGCAGTTTCTCCTTCTCCTACTCCTCTTCTTATCTTCTTCTTCCTCTTCTGCTCTTTGCTTATATTATTTTTCTTATATGCATTGCTCTCTTTTTCTATTGCCGCAAGCAGTTTTCGTTTTCTTCTCATTTTTTTTTTTACTAATACAAACGCTTTACAAATCTTTAGCTCTAAATTATGTGTAGCTTTAGCTTTAGCCATTTAATTTATGTTTTTCTTTAATTTTAATTTTACTTTTTCTTTTATATTTTATTTTTTACTTTTTGGTATTGTATTCCATATAAAATTATTTGCACACGTTTTTATCGCAAAATTCTCAAAATATAAGTAAAGGCTCTAAAACGCATCTGTTTGTGTTGCATGTGTTGTGTATGTATGTGGGTGTGTGTGTGGGTGTGTGTGTGTGTGTGTGTGTGCCTGTGTGTGTGTATCTTGTGTAGTGTTTCGTGTGTGTGTGTGTTGTTTAAATCTTTCGTTTAATTTGGGGACTTTTAGCTTTCTTTCTTTTGTTTTTGTTTGCAACAACTAACAATTTATTTTTAAATTTATTTGCTTTTTGTTTTGTTTTGTTTTTTTTTTTTTTTTGTATTTTTCGTACATAATTTCTTGGATTTTCACTACATTTTACATGCGTTTTCTGCTTCTGGATTTTATGTTTATTGAGTTTAAAATTCAACAACGTTTTGTCTTTAATAATATGTAAGAATATACATATTTTTACATATATATATATAGATATATATGTATATAAGTTTTTATGTGTATATGTATATAATATTATAGATGTATATATATATTATAATATAATATATATATATATATATATATATGTATATAGCATTTAATATGTTCGCATTGCCGACCTCCGCCCCCGTTCGCCCACGTTTTCCCTAAAAACACTCGACTCTCTGTCTCTGTCTTCTGTCTCTTCCTCTGTCTCTGTCTCTGTCTCTGTCCCTTTGCCTAGGCCTGCATCTTCTAGATAGAGCATGCATCTAGTTTTCTAGTTTGCTTTGCACTGCAACAATTTGTGTGTTTAGTTACTAAATTTTAACCCTGCCTACAATTACGTTGCGCAACAGCTCCATTGCTCTATATGTGACCAGATGGTATATCTGGTACTATATGCTAAGTATTGTATATATATATAAGTATATACCTATAAAAAATCATCAGCTACCGTATTGAATTTATCTACAAAAATTTACCACAACTAATTTGGTAATTATAATTAATAACCGTCTCGTATTGTATTGTATATAATCGATATATATATCAGATATATATATGTATATATATATTGTATATGTGACATAATTTTGTTTACGACAACAAAAAAAATCTTGTTTTTACTTTCAGTTTTATCGTCTTGTGTTTGTTGCTAAAGTCTACAATTTGTTACGGAACATTCTTCTATATCAGAAATATTAATATATATATAAAAAAAATAAACAAACCTAATTTTTCAACACTAACGAAATCAACCTGAATCCGACCACTCGATGCAAACGCTTAGTTAGTAACTAATTTTCCCATTTTTTTTTTAGTTTTCCGAACTGTAGCTCGCTTTCGGGCTGTGCGAAGCGGCCAAACAGTGCCGCCGAAAAGTATGCTTACAAGTGTCAGAAAAGAATGGGAAAATAAGGTTTCCAACGTTTTCTTTACGCCTTCTCTCGATCAAAGAATAAAGACTAGAAAAATAGAACTGAAAGGAAACTACAAACTACGCAAAATACTAAATAACTAGTTAAATATATATATATATATATGTATATATGATTTAGTGTGTGGGCTGGTCACACTCACACGCCAGCTCGCAATTTTCACTATTTTTCACCTCTATGCGCATTTTGTATCTGAGACATAAATATCTTTATATAAATATATTACGATTTCTTGTTGTTTGCTATCGATATACTTAATTGAATTTATCGTACAAATATGTAGCAATTGCTTAGTTTGTGAAGTTAATCGGGCTAAATACACTACTGTAGTTATCGTTATCGGTATCGTTATCGGTATCGTTATCGGTATCGTTATCGTTTACAAAACAACCGAAGCTCAAAACATTTGAATCATTTTTCAAAGGATACGAGCAACTATTTTATTTATAGTTTCCATAATATCTCTCTAGGTGGTTTCTTAGCAGTGCAAAAGGCTTTTATTTTTTTTTTTTTTATTATTAGTGGGGGCGTACTTGTTGTTGTTTGTTTTTCTTGTTGTCATTGTTGCGGAAAACCAGGAATTGTATAAATCGTTTGTTTTGGAAGTTTCTCTTTGTTCTGCTTTCCGACTATATACGCTAGGTGCACAGCTATTCGTGTGGTTGGATAAAGTTCTAAACTTGTTGGCTAAGATAAATGTAGTTACATATCTATAAAGGTAATTGCCTTCTTTTGTATTATCGTTAGGGTTAGTTTCGGTATATCGTGTATGTGAGATCCTTGCTAGCTTAAGTTGGTATTTGTTTTTGTTTTTGTTTAAAGAGGGGGGAATTAAATGATATGGTGGCAATAACAAGAACTGTTTACGCGAAGGAACCAAAAAACAATATTTCAATATTTGAAAGCAACGCTTAGATTTTTATTATTACACAATTTCTTTTCGCTTGCTCTTCTTCTTCTGCTTTTGTTTTTTCTTCGTTTTTCGTTTCTCTCTGTATTGTTATTATTATTATTATTCTTGTTGATTTTTGCTTTTCTGCCGCGTTTCTGCGTTTTTGCACAATTTCCATTTAAAAAATAAATAAAACTTATTGAAAATTTGTTAAGAATTGCTTAAACATAAAATTTTGCTTGCTTGAAAATAAAAATAAAAATTCAAAAACAAAAAAAAATTGAACATATTGTTTCAAAACTTTTTATGCAATATTTGTAAATAATTAAATGACTTTTCAGCGTGTTTTCCTTTTTTTTCGTTTTTTTTTTTTTATATAAAAATTTATTTGATTTCTCTTATGTTTTCACTTTGCTTTTTTAGGTTTTTCCTTTTTTTTTTCGTGGTTTTGTTTTTTCTTTTGTTATTTGTTAGCTTAGAGTGCTAGGTATGCAGGTAAAGGTAACTCAATGTTTAACAAATAAAATTAATAAAACTTAACTAAAACTGTAAATAGTCATATAATAATATAATCATAATAATAATCATAATAATAATAATAATAATCATAATAATAATAATTATGCATATACGATTTAAGATCTTGCAAAATCACACCAAACAAGTTAGTTCAAACAAAATAAGATTAGCATAGAAAATGTTGAAAATTGTGAAAAATCTTTTGCATAAATTGTCAACTGGTTTAGGCCAAGGCAAAAGCCACAAAGCAGAGTGTCAGCGGTAGGGGGGAGGGCGTTTCTTAGTTATAGCATAGAAAAGTTTGAGGCAAATCTTGCCTAATTTTTTATTTCTGCTGCTGCTTCTGCTGCTTCCTCTACTTCTCTATATTATTTTAGTGATCAACAAATAACAAAATCAATTATCAAATAATAGTTTTCTTTTCGCATAACTGATTTCATAATAATATTTTAAGAAAATCATAATAGTTCGCTTAGACTAAGAGCTGCCTGGAGCTGGGGCAATGAGGAGGGAAGTTCTTTTGCTTGTTTTTTAAATGTTTTTTTCTTCTTTCTTTCATTTTTATCGTAAGTTCATCTTCCTCTTGTTTATCATAGAAAAACATTGATTTTTGTTTACAAATAACCTTTTTTTTTTTTAGTTTTTTATTTCTTGAGTCAAATTTGAGGAGTAGGCAACGAAATTATTTACATATGTATGCACGATTTTTTGTTTAGTTGCTTAAAAGGTTTTCAGAGAAAGAGGCCAAGAAATTACCTAAGAAAACTTAACAAAAACTAGCTAAAAACTTAGAAATTGGTGCGCTGAAAATATATGTATATATATATCTATATAAATCTGTGTTTAACTTTGTTTTTTTTTTTTTGTATTTTTTTTTTTTTATGTTTTAGGTTCTTGCGTAAAAACTAATAACAAAAGAGGCTAGGTAAAAATTAACAATTCTACGTAATAGGGTAATTGGGTTTTATGTTTTCAGTTAACATCCTAACTTGGCTAACGTCGGTTTGTTAAGCGATTGAGGAGCAGCTAACAGTACGCACAGGGTTGCCACTGCGATAGATAAAACCACGGCAAACGCTATCGATAACTCGAGCTATCGATAAGTGTTGTGAGAGACTTTTGTAGTCGGCGTTCTGAAATTGGTTTTCTTTTGCTTTTTGTTGTTTTTTAAGCTACACTATAAAGTTAAGTTGTTGTTTTTTTTTTGTTTACTTCTTTCATTTAGTTAATTTGCGTTTAGCTTTACGTTAAGTTTAAAATAAATATGCGGTGCAGGCCGCAGCTTACAAATGTGTTTGTGTGTGTGTGAGTGTTTGTAGATGTGTGTGTGTGTGTCTGCTTATCATACATATATAACTTGTTTAATTACATATATATATAAATATATATATGTATGTATATATATTGCATATATGTGTAGTTTTTGTAGTGTATTTTCCTTCATGTCTGTTTACTAAAAATTATTAGTATTTATCATTTATCAATTATCGATAACTGAATTATTATCATTATCATTAAAATGTAATGGTTGATGTGGTTACTCGTATCGCTCAAGTCACATTTTTATATTACACATCCTGGAATTTCGATAGACGTGCACGCAAGTCCATGTTCTCCTGTTTCAGCTGCTCGACCTCCTGATGTAACGTGGCATTCTACCGAGAGAGACAGGAGAGAGAGAGAGAGAGATGGTTGTTTGATTAGTCAAAGTTAATCGATTGATCGATCTATCGACTTATCGATACTCACTTCCTTCTCCAAGTAGCGGGCACGCATCGCAATCTGATTCTCCTTTTGGCGGCGCGCATCCCTCGACCTCTTGGCGGCAATATTGTTCTTTCGTCTGCGGGCCCAGTACTTGTCGTCCTTGAGCTCATCTGGAACAAATTGTTTGCGTGACTTTTTAATCATCGGCTGCGGTTTGAGCTCTTCATCGGAGAATGCTCTGGTGCGCGGATCAAAGTCACGCCCCGACGATGCGAATGAAAATGCTGGAATATCAAATACTAAATGTTAACAATGTTTCACAGACTGTTCGTGCTATAAATTAAATCATAAAAAATGCACTCGCAACTTTTCAGATAAACGAAATAGAAACAATCAAAAGAAGTTTAAAGAAAAAATCAAAAAAAAAAAAAAGAAGATAGATATAGAAAACGAAAAAGAAAAAATGAAAGTAGACGAAAAGGAAATTGAAAATTTGCCTCGAATCGCACAAATTGGAATGTAATTCAGCCTTTAACATTTAGCATTTGATAAGACATGAGCAAAAACATTTTCTCAGTGTTTTTTTTTTTTTTTTCAGTTTTAGTTTTTCAGTTTTTCATGGGTTTTCTTTTTGTTTGAATCGGTTATTCGCTAGATGAAAAAGTTGTATGTGTTTTATGTGTAGGTAAATCAAAATCATATTCAATATAATATATTGTAAATCGAAAAGTTAATTAGGCGCAATGTCCATTCCATTTGTGTTTTTTAAATAATTGAATTTAAAAGTTAATTATACAAAATTATGATGTGGGGGGGTAGGGGGGGTCGTGGAGATTGGAATAGGACTCTCTTCCGCTCACTCTCACTCTCCCTCACTCTCTCTCTGCCACTCTCTGCCTCTCTCTTGCTCTCACTCGCATACTCACTTGATTCGGCCGGCGATGGCGGATTTAGCGTATCGGGACTTATGCAATCCGATGGCGATGGCGATCGCTCCCGTTTTGTGGTTATGTGCCCCAGGCCCAGCGAGAGACCCGCCGCATGGCTCAGTGAATCGGATCGATGGCCGAGGCCGCCGGCGTGCCCCAAATGGGTGCCGGGCAGGCTGTCGGGTATGTTGTTCTCCGACAAGAACTCGTCCAGGTCCGCATACTGCATACGAAAAGAATTTGCAAAGATTGTAATGTCACATGTGCCACAAAATGTTGCATACAAAATTGGCAGCAGCCGAAACAGCAAACAACAAACTCAACAATCAACACAGCCGGGCAAGTGTAGTGTAGTGTGTAATTACTTAATTACTAGCTGCTAATTTAATTACTTCCATTGGGCAGAGACTTGGGGTGCAAAATTAAAACTGTTCGCCATAAATAATTACAATTACTCAAATAATTACGTGTTTAATTAAAATTCAATTATTGAATGTATTTACGGGTGACTTAATTAACTTCAATAATTGCAGGTAATTAAGTTAATTATAATTTTTTGATGAAATTTCAGATAATTATTTTCAAAAATTAATTAATTAACTTTTAATTCAAGTAATTGAATTTATAAGTCATTTCTCTATTTGTGCATAATTACTTAAGTAATTACCACACATTGCCTAAGTAATTGCATTTCTTAGTATTATTTTTTTTTATAATTTAGTTTAATCTAATTTTTTGACATAATATTTTTATATATGTATTACTCTAGTCTTTATGATTTAAAGGCGTAGTAACTAAACTTATTAGAATGCCCACATAGTTAATTGAGTGTTGCGCCTTTCAGGCATAATTACTCAAATAATTACAGAAAGATACCAAGATACCTTTTTTTATACGATTTAGTTAGTTTTGTCTACTTGTAAGGCATATTTAGTCAAGTACCCACAAATAATTCCTGAAGTATTTACACTTTCAAGCGAGTAATTAAGTAATTAAACTTCTTTGGCTCTCATTACTGAAGTACTTGTGTGGGTAATTAAGAAGTAATTAAATATCGCATGTAATTATTGCAAATCTTGTGTAGGGTGTAAGTAAATTGCTTGTGTTAGTCAATTTGCAATGGAAGACACAAACTGTACAGTATTTATACAATATGATGAGAATACAATTCTCGCACTACGTAAAGCACCAAATTCGTGTTAATTTCGGGTGTGTGCCAGTCTGTGTGTGTGTGCTGTTTCGCTTGTTGTGTGTGTGTGTGTGTGTGTGTGTGTGTGTGTGTGTGTGGTAGGGAAAAGGGTAATTGTGTTGGCGGGGGGTGTAGTAAAAACAGACGCAGCCACTACGCAGCGATGAATATGATACTAACTTGTGTTACCTTGAGGTCAGCATCGTAGGGCAAGGTTTTGTCCCACAAATTTGGGCCGAGAAATGCCGTTTGGGCCTCAACATTCCAAATGTCGCCCTCCTCTTTGTATTTATCATCCGGGCAGATGATTTCTTTGCTATTCGATGTGGATTTGCCTGCAAAGAGAAAACACACAAATGTATTAAATATATATACAATATATATACAGTTTTTATACGTGAACATTTTGAATGCTAACCAAGGGCAAAGTTAAAAGTTTTTATTATTTTTGCCCAACAAATTAATCACAGGCTGACGACGACAAATGGCACTGATAAGGTTTAGTGTTTTTCCAATAAAATAGTTTTTGCAATCATTTGTAGAGTAGCTTTGTTTTATATTCGAGTGCACATAGTAAATGATAAGGGCCTGAGCACTACTTGGGCAGCTGTCTGTAAAGTGGGTCAAAACAGCGTCTCCAACAAACGCACACGGCACACATGCAAACGCATCAATTATCAAACACATACATACACACATACATAGATATATATTTGAAGCTGGGCAATTCTTTTTGGCAAACTGCCCAAAAGAAAGGAGAAACAAAGCGAAAAGATGAAAAAATGCTCACAATTTCCGCATGCGCTTCGAACGGCAAACAAAACACAGCCGAAAACAAACACAAGCCGCCAGAGCGAGACAGCTAAACAAGTCAGGCAAAACCAACAAACCAAACGCAAACAAAAGAGGAAGCAGCTTTGCTGGCAGGCAGTCAGTCAGGCAGGCAGCGCAGTCAGCAGCGCAGCCAGCAGCAGCTAAAAGCGAAAGTGAAATTTCAGCTTTCAACGGATTTTTATCGTTGCTCTGCGCGCTCGCAACGCACTCAAAAAAAGCTGCACTCAGCTGACGCTGCGCAGGCGCAGCTGAGCGTACTTTTGCTGCTGCCGTTGGCTGCGCTGCTGACTGCGACGGCGACGCTGACGGCGGCTATCACTGTTAAGCATTAGGCGCAGCGCTCTTTGATTTCTTGCACATTTTACAGGCAAACGAGTTTGGCCGAAGTCTGCGCCGACGCCGTCGCCGTCGGCAGAAACCAGTTGTCGTCGTGCAGCGCGTTGTTGTTGTTGTTGTTGCTTTTTTCTTTCTTTCTTTTTTTTTTTTGTTGGTTTCGCTTGCATTAGTTTCCGCTTTCTTATTCACTCTCACTTTCATTTGCGAAGTTTTTACTGTTGCTTTTTAGGCGAACGGGCAACTATTGCGAAATTTTATGCCATGTTGCGACGGCAACGGCGACGTCGACGTTGACGGCGACCACATTTCTGGTCTGTGGCAGTGAAGTAATATTTTCTTTTCTTTTCATTGCTTTTCTTTACTAGTTGTTGTTGTTGTTATTTTTTAATGCCGCTGGCAGCGAAGCGTAAGTGAAAAGTGCGCAAGTGTTTGTTGCATGTGAATTGTGAAGTAATAGCCACAAATCAGGCGGCAAACACACACACACACACACACACACACACACACACACACACAAAATTAGGACTTGCAAATCTGCAAGCGGGCCAACGCGGCGTATGAACAACTTTTCATTTGGCTTTTTAATTAGACATTTGCATTTGATGTTTGATGGGGACTTTTTTTAGCGCAGGGATTTATGTTTGGGAAATTTTTATATGCGGGCTTTTTATCAACAGAGCGAGAGAGAGAGAGAGAGGGAAATTAACAGCCGAGAAGTGGAGTTGACTCAAAGGTTAAGCGCAAGCGCAAAAAGGATGCAAGTAAAGAAAAAATAACAGTACTTAATGAAAAAACTCACATTAAAAGTAATAAAAGGAACTTTAAACAAGACAAGCAAAAAAAAAAAACTCAAAGCACAAGACAAAAGTTGCGTGCGGCAAAACAAAAATGAACAACAACATAAAATGGAAAACAAGAAAAAAACTGAAAAACAAAAATTTACCGTTTGCCTTGCAAATGAAACCCAAAAATGGAGATTTCCTGCCTGTAAGAACAGAAGAAAAATGAAAGATAGAAAGAAGAGCAAATACAATATTTACAGCTAGTGTGAAACGCAACGGAACGAAACGAAAACGAAACGAAATGGAATGGAATGGAGTGAAATGTATAAGCAAACAGAAGACACATAGAAAATGTAGCTAAGCAGGGCTTGGCGCAGGCTGTGCGTGTGAGATACTTTTGTATCTTTTTGCATGCGAGATACTTTTGTATCTTTTTGCGCGCGCAACTTGTATCTCGAATGTCACTTTCACTGGGCGCTCTCAGGCAACAGGAGCAACAGAATCTGGCGCAGGGTTTATTTTTAGCACAACGTTGCGTCGATCGGCCCGGCTTTTGCTTTGGCTTTGGCTTTTGGCTCGGTTTCGTTTACGGTTTCTCTTGCCAATTTAAGTGGGTCAACGATGCGTCAATGTTGCGGCTGATTTTGCTGTTGTTGTTGTTTCTTTTTTTAGCTTTTATTTTTTGGAGGGGCCCAGCAACAAAGCGCGCTGCGTTTTGTAGTCCGCGCACTTTTTATGGGCTTTTTTTTTTGGAGTTTCTCGTTTGTAATTAAAATAATTTGCATAATTTTCGTGTCTCTTTTTTGCATTTGGTTTCCGTTGCTTTTTTTTGTTTGGGTTATTTTTTTTTTTTTTTGGTAACAGTTTCATTGGAAAAGGCCCGCTTAACTTTTCTTAAGCCAGGCCTACGACAACAAAATGTATGCTCTTTCTTGGGTGAAAATAAATTCATTTACTTTCTTTATTTTTGTTTTTTTTGTGGCTTCATAATTTGTTACTGTCCGCTATTATTATTAATATTATTTCTATAAATTGTTAGCCTCTGGCCTGTGCCTTTGTTGTGTTAATGGACAGCGCGAGCTGGTCACCATTTTTTTTTATTTTTTTTTGTGGTCTTTGATGTAGGTTGTTGTTTTTTTGTTTTTTATTATTATTTTAATGCCGCATTAAACTTTCACTTTTACTGTTTCCATTTAGTACGAAGCTGCGCGAGTTTTGGGAAACATGTGACAGCCGCGGACTTTTGACTAGTTGCACACAGATTTATGTGGCCCAAAGCTGGCAAACAAATGCAAATGTCATTAGGCCAGAACAGAAGGCAATTGAAGACAAGCTGAGTATTTTATAAACTAATTAATTATAGCAATACCATGAAAATATGACCTCAATTCGCCTTAAAGTATTTTCTGTAAATTGATTAATTTAACAAAAAACCAAAAGTTTGCATTTTGCTTTGTTCAATTTGATTTCGTTTACATCCGTTTCCAAGCAATAAAATCGACTGCCCTTACAGCCAGCCCTCCCCCTCCGCCGTCACCCTTCCAGCTACCAATGCTGACTGCATTTTAAAGCAGGCCTCGCATTAAAATGAAAGTGAGAGTAAAATCTCCTGCAAGCAACAACAACAGCCCAAACAAGTCGCTGCGGATGAACAGCAAAGATAAAACCCCGAAAAACCCAATCAAATTGAATGAAAACCGGTTCCCAAAGTCACAAGCCAAATGCAAAAGAAAAGAAAAGAAAAGAAACGAAAGAAAGAGAACAACAACAGCAACAAGAAGAAGAAGAAGCAGCAGCGAATTCTAAGCACGCAAATGTAGAACAAAAGCGCGACCAGAGACCCCGACATTGACATCCAAGTGAGTTTACATAGTGTGCCTGTGTGTGTGTGTGTGTGTGTAGAAGTATTTCTAAAAGTGAGCATGTGTGTGTGTGTGTGCGTGTGCCCAGGCCAAGCAGCTGTGACTTTTTCAGCACACTTTCAGCTAGTTTTGCAGTAGCTCGTACGGTTGGTTATGCAATGCAAGTGTATTATTATTATTATTTTTTTTTTTGTTTTACGTTTTTCTGAGTCCAGCTCAACAATTGAGACAACGCTGGGCACGTACAGCGCAGTCGCTGCCTTTGCACGCCCCTTTCACCTGTCTCAACGGGTCGCTGTCGCCGTCGGCGTCGGCGTTGGCGTTCGCGTCGCTGTTGGCGCATGCGTCGCGTCGCGTCGCGTCGCGTCGATGGCGCAATTGCGGTAATTTTTAACAGCAATGTTGTTGTTGCTGTTGCTGTTGCCGTTGCTGTTGTTGTTGCTTGTGCTGTGCTGTATTACATGGCACTCGTTTATGGCTCTGCTGGCTCTTGTTTTGTTTGACTGCCTTTTGCTGAAGTGCAGAAAGTGTAACACTTTCGATTGTTGTGCTGTCTCTAGTTGTTGTTGCTGTTGTTGCTGTTGTTGTTGCTGTTGTTGTAGCTGTTGTTGCTGTTGTTGTTGCTGTGCATTGCATTCATTCCGCATTCGCGCTCATTTGCATAGCGCGTTTTTTTTTTTTTTTTTGATGTAGCACTTTTATGTTTAATTTCTGTTTTATTTTACCCTCTTTTGTTTTTTTCGCTATGCACAAAATTAATTATGTGTGGGAAAATGTGTTGGCCACATTTGATTTCCGGGCTTGTTAGCATAAAAAGCGCTTTTGTCATGGCCCAAACTAAAGCTCGGGCAGCCTATGCTCGCCTCTGGGCACTTGGCACCATAAAATTTGTCTCTTTGGTTAACTTTTAATTGCGCTGGTTTTTTTTATTTTTTTTTTGCCAAACTCTTGCTTGGCTAGTTTAATTTTCCTAACGGCATTTCGATTAGCATTCGCTTTCTTTTGTAATATTTTTGAATTTATTTTGAAGTTGTGATACCGCGTAGATTTCATTTTTTCTTCTATGTAATTTGCAGAACCTCAAATAGCAAGAGTATTCCTGTATTCCTGTCTCCCTCTTACGTTGCTTTTCATTCTGCTGTTGAGAATCGCATAGAGCGTCGATGTTATTTAACAGTATGGAATTACATTTCTGTGCTCCTTCTTTTTCTTACTCTCTCTCCCTTTCGCTAGTTTTCATTCATTCCGTCTATTAAGGTCTCATTTACTCTTACTTCTCTTCTTTTCAACACATTTGTTGTAGATAACTTTAGTTGAAGAATAGTTTTTAACTAACTGCATTGATTCATTAACACGAAATGCTTCACCTGATGGCTAATTGGCTTTAAAAACATTAAACAGCGAATATGACAGCGATGTTGCAATAGTTTAATTGCAAAACTGGAAAACTGTGAAACTGTTACAGAGCGAAAGTGAAAATAATGTTCACGCCACGCCCATCGCATTGAGGACACGATTTGTAACATATTTGCTGGAGACACGGATAGACAAAGCGAAAGAGCGAGAGAGAGAGAGAGAGAGGGTTAGATGAATACCTGCCTCTCGCTCTCTTTCTCTATTTTATGTCTACCCCCAACATTAGCCGCAATTTGTTGTTGCTGTTGAGTGAAAGAAAGCCGCCGGCGTCGTGCAGTTAATTAGCCAAAATAAGGAAGCAGACTATAATGATAATCATAGCCTGGCATATCGCGAGCGCTATAAAATTACAGCCCCATAAAACAGTAAATAAAAGACAGAGGGGGAAAAAAAAGCCAGCAGACACCGAAACCCAAATACAACTTCAAAAATTGGCTACAAATATGCGGGGCACGCAGGCGCGGGGCGTGGCTGTAAAACGTAATCAAAAAAAAAAAAAAACAAGATATTCAATCAACACAAAAGTGTGTAAAAAATCAACTGAAAAGCGCTTCTGGTTTTTTTTTTTGGCAGCTACAAAGAGACAGACGCAACGGACGGAACAGGAGCGACGACGTGTGAAATGGTAACAATTAAAAAAAAGAAGAAAAAATAAACAAAAAAAAGATTGCTCATACGCCGCGTGGTGCGTTTGGGCATTCGGTCTGTCGCTTCGGGCCGTCACTTTCACTGATATTTTCCAAACGAACATTCGTTGTTTCTCACCTGAACACTAAACGATGCCGCATTTTGCACGTTTCTTGCACGATTGCGCAACAACAGTTGCTGCTGCTGCTGCTGCTGCCCCCGGGACAACAGCAACAGCAATTGCAGGCGGCGGCGGCGGCAATCAGTGCAGTTAGCAAGACGGGTAGCTCGTGTTTTGGCTCGAGCTCGGACTCGGGCTGGTTGCCTTTTGATTGAACGTAACTGTAATACGTTGCATTTTGGCAGTACGTTCAGTGTATCTGGGTGAGTGTGTGACGACGTCGACTGCGCCAACAAAAGCCAATTAGCCAATTTGTCATGTCTGCGGCACATGCGCGAAATGCAATTCAAATTTTGTTGGATAAACGCGTTTTGTGGCCAACAGCACGCAAGGAAGTTGCCGTCGAGCGTCGAGCGATTATTGTGCTCAAATTTTACACTCTCTCACGGCAACTCTGTTAATCAGCAAAAAGTGCTAAATTCTAGAAGCAGAAGAAGACACACGACACGAGCCGAACGTGTACTTGACCAGCAAAATGGTTCAATTCATGAATCGCACATTACACAGCTGTAGATTAGCTCAACAACTCGCAGGTTCAGTACGAAATCAGAATACGAATAAAATAATAATAAACATAATGCCCCACTATAAGACAGGGTCTGGCAAGAAAAGCTTAAACTAAGCAAATAGATAAAATATCTACAAGTTTTCAGCAGCTTAAATTATTTCACAAGGCTTTAAAAAAAATTGCATTTGAATAAACTTTAAATATTTAAATTAATAATTCGAATTTCGCAAGATAACAAAATTTTGCATTCAATTTCTAATCTTTTAGATTATTTAACAAGACAAAAAAAAATAATTTAAATAATTTGACAAAAAAGAAAACATTTTTATAAAATTTCTCATTGCTTCAATTAATTCATTTAAAATACTTGGCAAGACGAAAAAAATGCATTTCAAATATTGCAAAAGATATAAAATTATAAATAAATAATTAAAATAATTTCGACAGGTAAATAAAAATCCCTTTAAATTCCAAATCACAAAATTATTTCGCAAGACAGAAATTTCTAATCATTTGAAATATTTCGCAACGCAGAAGAATAAAATACACCCATTAAATTTCTAAACAAAACTTTCGAAAATAAAATTGTGCATTTTTGGTATGAATCAA